GTAACCATTGAAGAATTATTAATGGATTTTTATTTAATAGATTTTCCTTCAGTGAATTTAATTATTTATTTTTATTTCTTTTTGTACTCTGTGCTTGTTAAATACTTTAATTGTTTTGATATCCCTTGGTTTTGTGGGCGGACTTGATCAACCCGTGTTCCGAAATTAGGGTGTACCATAATCTGCCTCGCCCCAAACACCGTCTATTGCCACTTCCCTCGCAAGGTAACGCAAGGTCCTTATCAACAACCTCATCGAGTCGTCGGCGGGGACCTTGAATATCCATTGCCGATGCGATCCTTTCGACGTCTTTCAACGGTGCTCCGATGGTTCCGCAAGGTCTCTGGTTTGTCCCTCCAGTTAACCCCAATTAATTAATATTTTAGAAATAAAGATAATATGTAAGGTAGGTTCAGAAATATGCATCGAATGAGATCGACGCCTGACCCATTTTGGGTGGGATGGATGTTGGCGTGACCAAAAGATTTAGAGAACCCTTCATTGACTGAGACATGACTGAAACTATCTATCAAATGTGGAACTTTTGGCGCTGTACAAAATGCACCTCTTGAAGAAACCGCAAAATAGTGTTAGTACTGTAGAACACTAAGCCAGGAGCTAATAAAAGTAACCCATCTTGGAAAAATTCCATACTCTGTCACTTAGATGATAAAAAAAAGTTCATAAGATATGGTCTGTATATATATATATATATATATATATATATATGACCAAATATACTTATATATATACCCATTTTTCGGCGATCTCCTCTTGCAGTGGCTTCGGATCTGTTGAAGATGTTGAGGGGCTAATTTCATTCGAAAATTTGGCTAGAAAATCACTTGGATGGAGGTTGGTTAAAATGACCCCCTCATGATAGTTGAGGGGGATTTTTGATACAAAAATTCGTAAGGGAGTTTTTTGCTAATGGATGAACGTCAAGGGGGTTTATTTGCAATTCGCCGTAATTTATATTCACCTATTAATAATGAATTAGTAGTAGTTCCTAAACTATGACTGGACTTTTACTAATTTCGGTCAAATTATATGGTAGGGCAAATATTAGTTTCAAATTATTATAATTCAGCATTTTTAGGATTCTTTATGTTCTACAATTTAGAAAACTTTATCACATAAAATTCCGCTTTTAAAATTCTTAGTACTTAATTTTTAATTTTATCAAACAACATAAGGTTGATGTGTTATGCAAGTGAGATTGGAAGGGAATTAATTTATTGAGAAAACTACATTTAAGTAGAACTAAGAACCCTAAATAACAAATAAGTCTATTTTAAAAGTTGATTTTTTAATTCGGTTCAGTTAAGCAAAATAATTATACATGCATTGAAAATTATTATTGGAAATGATATTTACGCCGATGGATTTGGCAGATTTGTTAGGCAGAATCATAGGTGGCATCTAGCTGGCAAAAAGAATGGGCTTGTGTGCAATCCATTCATCTTCCTCGGTCTCTTCTCTCTCTTTCTAACCTCCCTCAAGTTGCAGCTATGTTGTGGATTTCTGTGGTTCTATCCCTTCTGTCATCGCTTCTTGCTATTGTTCCTATCCTTCGTCAAAGTCCTACTTTTAGTTGCTTATTAAGATTAATTATAGGCTTTCTATCAACTAAATTTCTAGGAAACTTTGTGCTCAAACCAATTGATGTAAGTTTGGGAAGCCGGGTTCGACAGCGGGCAGTGGCGGCAGGTCCGACAGAGGGCAGTGGAGGTGGTCCGACATAGGGCAGTGGCAATGACAGAGGGTAGCAGTGATGATCAGCGAGGGGTTAACGAAACTGAAAATACGTTGTTGGAAAAGGAGCACGTGGGAGAGTTAGATCTACTTATAGGAGCGTAGGTGCATGAGGAATGAGGATAAGAACCGTGACTACAAACGGTGGATGTGATGCTAGAGCCGGCGAGGGCTGTGAGAACCGCCGAGTCAGAGTTGTAGAGCTTGACCCGGTGATGATGGAATAAACTGTGTATAATTTAGGATATTATTTAATTTAAAACTTCTATGTTAGCCCATTGTCTTCCCTATTTCTTGATGGATAAAAATTTGTAAAGAAGAAAGGATGACTCATCCCTATTCTTTATTTATTATATTGTGTCATTTCTAGCGAAAAAGGGAAGTTTGTTCTTTCATTCCTATAATCTCTCCTCACACATGTTCCTTCCTACCTATCAAACAAAGTTTTAGGGATATAGTTTTGTTCGTCCCTAAGTCTCATTTACACGTGTCACCCACAGAATTAATTTGACATTTTAGACCGAGTTCTCTTCTGTCCCAAAATTAAAAAATAAACCCACGATTTTCTCTATGCTTTATATGCATGCATATGTGATAGCCCCAAAAAGATTCCGGTGTAATAAAAAAGAAAAAGAAAAAAAGGAGGAAGATGTGTGAATTGAGAAATATTACTAAAATTGAGAGAAAAAAAATAGGGATATGTTTGAGTTTTAAAAGGATTATAAAAATTAGGAGTCAAATTAGAACATAGATTACAAGCAATTATGATAGTAAATAATCACCCTATTTGAAACAGAGTTTGATTTAGAAAGGACTCCAAATTTTCCAATTTTTTTAATTTTTTTTTTTACAATAATTTTTCTTCATTTGTTTTTGATCCATAATAACATCGATTACAAGTTGTTTATACCATAAATATCTTCCAGTTGGAAAACTTGTCGTGGAGGGTACTGAGCTTTTCCAATTATAAGGGTGAACGTTTCCAATTGGAAAAGTAATATGAAAATAAGGTTTAATCATGAAGTGACACGTGGCTTCATCAAAGGAAGCCATTTGGTACAAGTAACTGCATAGGGACACGTGTCAGTCAAAGAGGGAAGCAGTTACCTTCAGTTGTAAATACGTGTGACTTTCCAAGTGAACATGTAACAGACAGAGAAGGAAATAGTTTTCTGCAATTGGAAAGTTGTTGTTGAATGTGACACATGTCCGCCAAAAAGGGAAGCAGTGATTTGTAGCTGGAAAGACGTTTGACTTTCTATGTAGACACGTGATAGGTAGAGAAGGAAATAGTTACTTGCAAGTTACAGGCAGTTAGGAGATTGTGGTCCATTCCATTTGGTAGTTTCAGAACGTGGCTAGAAGCCTTTAATTGGAATTGAATCACCAAAGCCATCCCTTCAAAACTGTAATTCATGGGACATCATGTTCTTACACGTTTCAATACTGTGAGAAGACTAAGGAAGACATGGGACATGTGGCACGATCCGGACCTTCCAGGTGAAAGTTATTAACTACTGCTGGAAACTACCGCCTTTCCATCTGGACAGTTCTAGAACATGAAAAATGCTTGCAAACAAACATTCAACTACCAAAACCATTCCTTCAAAACTATAATTCATGGGACATCATATTCTTACACATGTCAACACTGTGAGAAGTCTAAAGAAGACGTGAGACACTTGGCAGCCCAAGGACAAGCCAAGTGGAAGCTGCTAGAACTACCACATTTCCAACTACTGCAAGGGAAGCTCTATAAATAGAGCACTTAGCTAGGCCTAACATACAAATCTTGTCAACACACACAACAATACAACTTCTTTACTTATCAATTTCATTTCATGTATCTTTATATTCCAGTAATGTATTTTTATTATGTCTAATTTAAGTCTAACACTTTCTTTTCATACTTTCCAGCAAGTAGTCCATAACACTTTTTATTTAAAGTCTTGCACTTTCAATACCGTCTTTCTTTTCACTAGTTATAGAACCGTCCTGAAATCTTTTTTCAAGGCAAAAAGAATCATTGAAGGTGGTCATTCTAGTCCTCAGATAATCACCTGATCCCAAACTCTAACTGGAATATTGTTTGGAGCTCCACTTTGGAATGCCAGCAGTACGTTCCTGGCACGCCCGCAACCCACCTCCTTTCCACACTTGGAAAGGACCACGATTTTTACAAGCCAAACACAAGTAATTATAATTGTAATTAATCACACCATTTAAAACATTGGTTAAGTTAGAAAACACTATTTCTCTTACTATTCAATCACGGTTGAGAGAGAGAAAGTGAATTTCACTATAGCTTAAGGACAATTATGGTATTAAAAAATATAAGAACAAAACATTGTGTGGTGTAAGGACTTATTTGTAATTTTATTTTTAAAATAAATAAAAATGGAGCGCTAAAGTACTTTGTTGGAAAGCTAATATCAGTTCCCATAATATATATATATATATAGTAAAAATATTTAGAAATAAGAAAAAGATATAGATAGATACACCATATTTAAATTAATTATTAAATGTATTTTTTTAAAATATTAAATTATGATTTAAAAAATAATAAAAATATTACAAAATATATATATTTTTACGATCTATTATCGGGAATGTTTTGTGCGAGGTGAGCAATGTGCATCATCTTCATTCGGAACAACCAGCTTGGTAATCCTTCGCCACCACATGGCATAAGCGCCTTGATCAAGATACAAGGGCGCATGGACTACTATAGTAATAGAATTTATTATTATTATTATTTTGGGTGGGGCCCTTGCGGGTGGCGGCCTTTCGGGCCGGGCGCTTGACATGTCATATGATCAAGGATTGAGTCTGATTCTGATACCAATACCAAGTATAATGGATGGGTGATTATTTATCCATTTACTTCAAAGTTTAAATTATTGGGTAGTGCTACATACTCACTTATTTATACTCATACATTTTTCTATCCGGATTTGATGTGGGACAAGTTCCCACTTGTAACAAGTGCATTATGGGTTGAGGTTTTCCCTCAGAAGATGCAAACCATTCTTCCAAAATAATAATAATCATATTACTAATAATCTCTTTCCAACCATAGAAAGTACCATAAAACAAGTTAGAAAAACCATAAAACTCCAACTTGAAATTTTGAAATTGTAATTTATTCCAATAAAGTTTTTGCATAAACAAACTGAAACAAAAAAAACAACATAGCAGTATCAAATTGACACTTTGGATTTAGAATTGGAAGAATTTTAGTACAAACTTTGTATTAAAATTCTTTCAATCCCAAATACAATGCACCGATTCGGTGTTTCTAAATATAAAATTAGCAATCTTGCTAAATTCTTCCAATTTCAAAAACACATACAAGGCACCGTTTCGGTGTTTCCAAACAACAATGTTGTCATTTACATGTCTTTCAACCGATACAAACACTCCACATGCTTGGTGATGCGTCTTGGATCACAGGATAAGGTTGAACAAGACACATCCCTCAATGCTTTCCTTTCCACATTATAATAAAACAATTTTGATGGATGAGATCGAAATACAATATCACCCATATGAATGGTACCATCCGGTATAAAACTTCCACGACTTGGAAGTACTAGACTCTCTCTACTCCACAGTTGCTTCTCGTGATCTTCCAATATCCAAATTGCTGACATCTTGCGATCTATTAAAGCCAAATGTTCTTTCACTTGTATCAATAAACAATTCTCAGTATTAGCACTATCAGGAAATCGAATGATCTGAAACTTCTCGCATCCTACTTCGAAAGCTATTATCACGTCCTTCGAGTCACGCTTAGATATAATATATATAACATCAGTAATGCAATAAGCCCTGGCATAATCCGTATTCAGAATTCGGGGCACGCCTAATTGAAGCTCAGAAGTATCAATCTCTCTCCACAAGTTAGTGCCGAGCGTCAGAATCTTGAACTCAATCTTTAACTCAACTTGAGAATCTTCACTAACAAGATTAGGCAAAAATCCGCATATGGCGAGAACCTTGTATTTATTGGTAGAAGGTTCAAATCCTAACAAGTATTTTTCTTCACGATAAGGTACACTGGTTGTTATAGGTGGAAGAACTTTGAATTTTCTGGTGCTAGGATTGTATATGCTGTTATTGATACAGACCAAGCCATTAATGGATTGAAACGGAATATACAAATCCACTGTATCGGGTAGTGGTAGAAGGTAAGAGGTGGGGCCTCCCTCTGGATCTAGAGAGCCTAAAAAATTACGATGCCCAAGTTGAAGAAGGAGGTTGAGGCCTCCAGGACGAGTATGGGATCGAATATGGTGTTTTTGAACGAAAAGTGGATCGTCAATTATGGAGCACCAGAGCTTCGAAACGCACCTTAATCTCAGTAGAGTTTTCACAGAAAGCAATATGAGTATTTCGAAGAGAAGATCTTTTGGAACGAACACCACATCAACCTTTTGCCTTTTCCCCATCGTATTACGAAGCTTCCTACCTTGTCGCGTTTGATTTGTTAAAGTATAAAGAGCTAGGGTTTCTATCGGACCTACTTTACAAAGGGACCCGTGAAAACCTAGATTTGAGTTTTTTGTCAAAGGCAAGTGAGATTGGAAGGGAATAAATTTATTTTCACCGATTAATAATGAATTATTAGCAGTTCCTAAACTATCGCAAGACTTTTAATAATTTCGGTCAGATTATATGGTAGGGCAAATATTAGTTTCAAATTATTATAGTTTAGCATTTTAAAAAACTCCAGGACATAAAACTTCAGCATATATATATATTCATTCCTAATCCAATGTATTTTTATTTATATATATATATATATATATATATATATATATCTATTTGGCCTATTGCATTATGTATATCCCTTAGTATTTTTGATGCGTAAAATCATTTTCTTTTCTCCAAACAAATGAAATAATATTTTTTCACATTTTTTTTTTTAAAAAAATAATATTTTAGACTCTGTTTTGTTATCTGAAATTGCAGATGCCTCGATAGCCCAGTTATTAGTGCCTCTGGTGAATTTTGGGAGTGCCAGGCTTTGACTCTTTACACCTACTAATCTAACTTCTAACCCTTCTTGTCTTGTAAAATAAATAAATAAATAAATAAAGTTATCTGAAATTGATGGTCTAAACCTAGAAAGGAAAAGAAATTAGTACAAACTGAGCCCAAACAAGGCCAAACCCATTAAGCTGGACCAACCATTACAGACCAACACATCATTTTAGTAGAAACAAAGGCATACTCTAGGAATTCATTTATAGATTCCTCTAAATGTAAAGAAATATATTGTAGCCCATTCGTCTCCTTCCCAATTCAATAGCGTTCTCTTTGACATTCTCTTATCAGTGAACCAAAAAACTGTTTTGAGTTTCTTTCATTTTTCTTCTTATTCTTATGGGTTTAGATTCACTGTTAGATCTTATTGCGTTTTGATTCGTTTGTTTATTGGTTCAAAACTTGATGTTGCTGCTCTTGCTTTTGATTCGGTTAATTGATTTGAAACTTTCAGTTTTGTTTAGTGACACCAAAAATAGGCATCTTGAGATAGCCATTGCATTGGTGAATTTGGATACGGTGTCCGAGTCTGCTCTTAGCGGACATTTGATTTATTGATACATGTCTATTGTTCTCAATTCAAATTCACCAGTGTAGACTCAGACACCGTATTGATACTGGTGTTTTACATCAAACTTGAGTCATTAACTGAAATTAGTTGCAATTAGGGAATTTTTTTTTTTTTTTTTTTTCCAGTAAATCTGCTGCTTGAAATTTTTTTTAGCCCCCCCTACTTTCAGATCCTGGTTCCACCCCTGGCCTAAAGTACTATAGAGATGGGGGAGTCGCAAAGCTAGAAGTGTTCAGTAATTAGTTTTTGTTAGAGCAGAGTGGGTGTGAGTTTAAGTCAGAGTCCATTGATTCTAATTTGTTTCGAAGATAGTGAATCATTTTGCTTGAGACTGCGTGAAAGTCTTTGAGTTTTTTTTTTTTTTTTTTTTTTTTTCTCAATTTGATGAAAGTCTCCGAGTATTTTATTTATTTATTTTTTCTTCTCTCAATTGGATGAATTTCTCCAATTTTGCAGTGTCAAACTCCAACTCTCACTTTTTATTACTTGCACTTTATTTTTGTTTTGTGGGTGGAAAAATAGTTTTTATTTTGGTAAAAATTAAAGTTGGAAAAAATCAGATAAATTAGCAAGTCGAACCTATTCAAACCCCTTCTAAGCAATTTTTTTACGGTACTCGTTTTCCACAACCATTTCACCTTATGCTACAGTATCAAAATATTTTGGCCTCTTAGGTCAAGTACTTATGATGATATTAAGAGAATAAATCCTAGTAGAAAGAAGCAAAAGTCTGGTAAGAGTAATCTAACCAAATGAACCATTGTTGGTACTCTGAACAACTAATTTATTTCATCCTATGCCTATCTTACCAAGCTTTCCCTCAGAGAAAGTAGGGCAGCCTTGGTTCAATTTTCTAAAATGTTATTTTTTTGCAATTTCTTAGAGCTCCCTTCAGATATTTAAAAACAGTTTTATATGGAGTATGAAAACTGAAAATTTTGAAAATTGTATAGAAATCTCTCTTTTATAATTGATTTGAAAATAGCTTTTTGAGTTCTTGAGAATTGTTTGTAGAAAACTAAACCAAGCAGATCCTAGAACTCTCTCCTTTCTACACTTTCCTAACATCATGTCCTCGATCTTCCAACGCGGTAGAAAGTCATGACTATCTCTTCTTTCTCTGCCCTTTCAGCTCCTCTCCAACGTTCACATTGATCTTTTGGCACTCCTTGGTTGCTTGGTGCTGTTCACAATGGTCCTCTTACCCAAGTTCAATCAAATTTAAGTCAACAAGCCATTTGTTGGATGTTTTGTTGTTGCTTTTGGTTCCAGCTCGTAGGCCAAGGCATTTGTCCAGTTTTGTGGCTGTTTCCTTGTCGTAAGCAAAGTGTTAGGGAATTTAAATATTAGAGTTACATCATTTTTAACAATTTAAACTTTTGGAGCCTTTTTTTTTTTTTTTTTTAACAAGGCAAGAAGGGTTAAAAGTTATATCAGTATATCGAAGTCTGACACTCATAAGTTCACCGGAGGTACCCAAAAGAGGTCAGAAATAAATATGCCTTTTTGAGACCCTCCCATTGCCGACACAAGATGCGACCCCTATTTGAGGTCGCTAATATGCTTTTCCGACTCAAATTTTGGGTTTTTACGATGCCTTTTGGCGTCGGAAATAGCTCCATTTGTTGTAGTGAATTCATTGAGTTATCGAGACATCTACAAACTTTTGAAGCATATAATTGTTAACATTGTTTCAGACTAGATAAGGTCCTAATATGAGACCACTTATTGTCCATCCAAGCCTTACTAAAAAACTCTTGAGTAAACTTGAAAATATTAGTGAAGTGTGTTAAAGCACTATATCAAATCAAAAAGTGAAGACTGCATTTTGTATGTGTATATGACTCTTTGCATGTACACAACATTTGAGTACACAAAACAGAATGCATTTAAATACCTGAACCATTTATTTTTTTCACTAAAAATAAGATTGAAAATTGGGAACATACTTCCTTGTGTACTAAATATGAAAACAGGAGAAGCAAAGCCTAAAAAATTTAATGAAAACAGGAGAAGCAAAAGCCTAAAAGAGAAGGAACCTCCGCAATAGAGCCTCAACCTAAGAGAACCAGTCTAAACCACGCAAAAGAATACCAAACTTGCAACAACCCAAAAGGAAAAAAAGTGATTGAAAACAACTCCAGCAACAAAGAAAAAAAAAAAAAACCAAAATTGCTTTTCGGTTCATTTGTACCTTCTTTTACCAAGAAGAACCAAAACAAGTAGCAATGCTTAACAACTCTTTTTAAGCAGTAACAAAATGAAACTGTGATAAGTTATGGGAAGTCTAATATTAATTTTCTTTCTTTTTTTTTTGGTAAAACAAAGTAGAAATTGGTTAAAGAGAAAAACTATACACAAAATCAAATGGAGCACATCTCCATAAAAAACAAAGTATCCAAAAGGAACCAATTAAAGAAACTTCAAAACTATACTAGTAATAAAACAAATATAATAATAAAAATATTTAGAAATCTTGTTATTTACATATCCTTCAACCGATATATACACTCCACATGCTGGGTGATGCGTCTAGTTGATGACATATCATGGGGCAAGTTTGAGCACTCCCTAGCCCTCCTTAGTGATTTACTTTCCAGATTATAATAAAACAGTTCTAATGGATGACATGAAAATAAAATCTCACCAGTATGAACTGTACCAACAGGTCTATAACTAAAGATAAAACCGTTCACCTCCACACACCGTGGAAGGACGAGACTCTGCCTACTCCATAGTTGCTTCTCGTAGTCTTCTGATATCCAAATTGTTTGGATCCAAAGATCTATCAGAGTCAGATGTTCTTTGACTTGTATCAGGGAAAAAGTTCTAGTATTAGCACCTTCTGGAACTACAATGATCCGGAACTTCTCGGATCCTACTTCGAAAGCTACTATCATATCCTTCGAGCCACCTTTAGATATAATATATATAACATGCATCAGTAATGCAATAAACCATAGGATTAGCCATATTTAGTGGCGGTATGTCTAATTGACGCCCAGAAGTGTCAATCTCCCTCCACAAGTTCGTGCCGAGAGTCAGAATCTTGAGCTGAACTTGAGCATGTATACTAACATTAGAAAAAAATCCGCATAAGGCTAGGACCTTGTATTTATTGGTGGAGGGATCAAATCCTAGGAAATATTCACAGAAAGATCCACAGGAACCTTGACTTTGGTTTCTACATCACAAGGTACACTCATCCTTATAGGTGGAAGAGTTTTGAATTCTCTGGTGCTCGGATTGTATATGCAGTTCCCGTTACAGACCAATCCATCAATGGATTGAAAGGGAATAGAGATATCTTTATCGGGTAGTGGTACAAGGTATGTGGCCGGGCTTCCTTCTGGATCTAGAGAGTATAAAGAACAACTAAGTTGGTAATGTTTCTCATACCTAAAAAGAAGGTCCGGTTGAGTATGGGATCGAATATGGTGTATTTGAATGAAATGTGGATCATCAATTATGGAGCACCACAACTTCGAAACGCACCTTAATCTTAATAAAAGTTTCACCGGAAGCTCTTTCAGTATTTGGAAGATAATATCTCCTGGAATCAATAACTCACCATCTACCTTTTGCCTTGCTTCCCTCAAGAAGTCATCAAACTTTTGCCTTTGCCTTATCTTCATCGATAAGTCATCAAGCTTTTGCCTTACTTCCATCATGAACTCGTCCACCTTTTGCCTTTGCGTTATGTCCATCTTTTCTTGGAGAGTTTGATTTGTGAAAGTGTATATTCATATGTGCACATACACCACGTAGGCATATAGGGATCTTTCGGAACTACTTTCAATAGGGACACTGAAAAAAGGAGATTGAGTTTAA